GCAAGCCCTCGGGCATACGCACTCGGGCACTCCATGCCCTTGTGTGTACGCTCTCGGGCAAGCCCTCGAGCGTACACACGCGGTCCTCCACGTCCCCGACCACCACCTCTAGAGGAGTCTCGCTTTTATACCTTCATGCCCCCGTGCTCATTTTCAGCTCCGGACGTTATCAGGACGTGCTGATCGGTGATTGGTGTTTGCTTGTTGATGTATGCGGTATGTTTGAAACACAATCAAGCATGGTAGTAAGGTCTTGATGGAAAATGCGTACCCTCGTGCGTAGCCCTCGGGCAAGCCCTCGGGCATACGCACTCGGGCACTCCATGCCCTTGTGTGTACGCTCTCGGGCAAGCCCTCGAGCGTACACACGCGGGCATGAATTTTCCACCAAGCCCTTCCTTCCATGCTTGATTCTATACTTCACTCAATCATCAAGAGCCAGCTTAGAGCTGACAATGGCCAGAGGAGAAGAATTTACAGAGAACCACCAATCCTTGCAGAAAGGTTGACACTCCTGGCATCTCCATCACTGTTTTCCCGCGGTTTTCACAGCGCAGCTGCTTCTTATCTGAGCCGACTAAAAACAGCTTGCATTTCGGCAACAAACTACGCTTTTGCAAGAAATACTGGTGGAGGCACATGCCAAACATATCCCCTCGGTGCTTTCGTCGTAACCGAGGGATTGCAAGTTAGCAATTGGCAGAAATATGTGTGTATTTCGAATCACCTCTGATCAGTACGGACTTAGAGTACCCTCTGCGACACCAAAATTTGATATGAAAAATCAGCGAACTCCAGAGAAACAGATCGGATCGAAAGATGGCCTGGTTCAATCGAGCCTGGCCTCGGAACAAACTTGGACAAGATACCTTCCATCCACGAGCAGGATTCTGGCAAGTGATCATTGCTAGTGTGAGTTTCAGCTTGGCAAAGACACACTGTAAAAGTGTACGGACTTCGAGCACCTGGGTCTACTACAAGTCCGTTTCAAAAAGATTTACAATCCTGGCGATCGCCCGCAGAGTTTGGCGTCTTACCGTATGAGCACTCGAGCGCTGCCTGGAAAAACTCACCGTGAACTCGAAGAAATATTCCGCGCGAAAGCAGGAAAAATGACAACTCACTCACGTTGATACTGTCATGTACGGCTGGTTTACAACAAACGAGTTCTTCCTCGTATCGATAATGGAGTCAGAGAGGACATGTCGAAACGAAAGTGTTGTAAATGTTGACGAGCTGCATGGGTCCCAGTTGGTTTTGTGACCAAAATAGTTTCTTTGAGCTGCGATGCAATTTACCCACCGTGTGACGAAAACGACATCGACACGGACATATTCCCACTGGCCATGACTTGGCAAAGCTATCCGTGTGACTTCGACGACATTTTGAGAAAAGCAGACGCTTGTGAACGCTGATAGAAGACGGCGTTGACTGCTAAATTCAAATAAATTGGCGATCTTGAAATACTAAAATAAATCTCAAAAAGCTACAGCGCGATGACTTCCATTATAATTCACTCACACCATTGCAGTGTTGTGGGTGTGTTCACATGGCGTGAGCCAGTCAAGTGTCAGTCAGTTCGGCAGGAAGCGCGAGCTCCAACAACAAGTCGTTTGGTGCAGCCATCTTCTTTGTCTTGTACCAGCTTGATCACCAAAACAATGAAAAAAAAGTTTGATTTGAGGATAGGTTGGGATTTGAACTCACAACTTCATGGTCAGCAGACAGCATTCATAACCACAAGGCCAAAAAGGAAGGGATAAATCGTGGGTTTTGATAAAAAATCGATACTGGCTTCCTGGGCAAATTGTAAACCATGGGAAAAGGCCGGAAACCTGGCCGAAATTCTAACTCCTTAAAGGTTGGTCCAATAGACCCTTTGCGCAATAAGCGAGAGGGGTCGAGACGGGGCATGCTGTGCGCGCGCTGCACACTTGGCATGCAACCAGCATGCATGGTTTGCTGCAGGACGTGATCAAGTTTCCTGTGACAGGCTAGGTTTTCACGGTCCCGACGCGATGTTCATGTATGTACTCCCCAGCCTTTTTTCATTTGAAGTTTATTCAGTTCTGAAGGAAGAAGTTCCGAAATGCTTTCCAAGGACTGCTGTTGGGTTCTTGTTTGCAGCAACCGTCATCCCTTGTCTAAGAAACCCACTTGTTTTTCCAGGCGTTCCCTAGTGATGCTGGCATTCTACTCTCTTGAATCCTGGCTATCTGGCGAGAAGGGCAGCAGTTTGCTGCGACATCGTTCACAGTCACGGTTTTGCTCGGAACACTTTGTCGATGAAGACAGTCACTTTCATCGTTTTGCGAAGACGCGGAACGTCCTGCCAAGAGACTCTGGAGCTTGAGAGAAAGGCATGACCCATCCCTGTCTTCGCTATTCAAGGAAGATCGACTGCTTGCTGGCGCTGCTCGAGCTGCTGATGTTGAAGTGCAGAGAGACGCAGCCTCATCGCTCAGGCGTGCGGAGAAGGCCATCTGAGTTCGAGCTGTGGCTGTGTGCACGATATGACAGACTTTCACGTTATGCACATAGCCACCAAAGTAAAACTCATGGACACTATCCACGGGCTTCTTCACTAGTACAACTCCATCAGCTCCCTCTTCACTGTCGTCGGCGACTTGCCCCTGCGTTGGAGATGAGCAAGCCTGGTGTGGCACTCACTCTGGGAAACAGAGGTTCATCACTCATCGAGTCATCCACTGGGACGCATGAAATGTTGGGCACGACGACTGTACACTCGAGGAAGTGGTGCCCTTCTTAGTTCTAGGAGCATCAGGGTTCTGCATAGAGAAGTGTTCTCTACATCGACAGAGGAGAGAAGGTAGAGAAAATAAAAATAAATTTCAATCTACAGTAATCCGAAATATCCACTGACTGCGGAAAACTTACCGCTCCAACAACTCCTTCTTTTTCCAGACAGATACGCACCCTCATTCAGCAGAAAACTGTTCAGTTCCTTCACAGGCCATTCTTCATTTGACAGTTCGTCCACGGGTGCCACAGCCATCGATGGCAAACCACTCGACACTCTCTCCTCCATCTCCAAAATGGAAAAATACAGTGTTTCACCATGCTCAACAACGGATACTCTGCACAAAAATCGAAGAGGATGCCCCGTCTCGGATCACGTGACCGTTATTGTGCAAAGGGTCTATTGTTCCGAAACCTTCACAGAACAATTTGCCGTGTCCTAACAAGCCATTCTATGCACTTTGTTGTCCAAATTTCCCTTATCTTCATACTTTTTAAGACCCAAACCTGATTGTAAATCTTTTTGAAACAGACTACAGTAGGCGCTAGACGTGCGACCGGATTTCCATGTCCACGACAGTAGTAGTATCTAGTAGACCATGGTAGACCCAGGTGCTCGAAGTCCGTACACTTAGTCTTTTACAGTGTGCGTTTGCCGAGCTGAAACTCACACTAGCAATGATCACTTGCCAGAATCCTGCTCGTGGATGGAAGGTATCTTGTCCAAGTTTGTTCTGAGGCCAGGCTCGATTGAACCAGGCCATCTTTCGATCCGATCTGTTTCTCTGGAGTTCGCTGATTTTTCATATCAAATTTTGGTGTCGCAGAGGGTACTCTAAGTCCGTACTGATCAGAGGTGACTCGAAATACGCACATATTTCCGCTAATTGCTAACTTACTTGCAATCCCTGGGTTACGACGAAAGCACCGAGGCGAAGGGATATGTTTGGCATGTGCCTCCACCAGTATTTCTTGCAAAAGCGTAGTTTGTTGCCGAAATGCAAGCTGTTTTTAGTCGGCTCAGAGAAGAAGCAGCTGCGCTGTGAAAACCGCGGGAAAACAGTGGTGGAGATGCCAGGAGTGTCAACCTTTCTGCAAGGATTGGTGGTTCTCTGTAAATTCTTCTGCTCTGGCCATTGTCAGCTCTAAGCTGCGCCACTAAGGTGTGCAAGGCATAGGCATAGTGGTGGCCTGCGGAAGCGAAGGCTAGTTTGTGTGTTTCTGAACATTCAAGCGATGCCAACGCGAATCCCGCGAATTATTATTATTATTAAGCTGGCTCTTGATGATTGAGTGAAGGTCCGTTTGACGCTGTGTCCGCTCGAAATCGGTCTTGGCAAAGTTGATTTTTGCATGAAATGTAACCCAATTTGTATTTCGTACGGACACTCGAAAACCCACTCGCGTGGTATGGGACTTCTGCTTATCGTAGATCCCTGAAAATTGCTACGCGAGGAGAACATACCACACTGTCCCCTCTATAAAATATTTGAGTCGAATACAATAACAGAACATGAAATTATGGGCGTAGACCTACGAACTTAGGATACCATGTACGGACTTCGAGCACCTGGGTCTACTCAGTATTTACTTACTACAGTACAGTAGTAGGCCAGCTAGGGCGCGTTTGGTTGGTAGATCTCTAGAGACCAAGCCTACGCTTACGCCGAGTTACGGTCACCGTTTCAGTTTAGTTTAGCCTTTGGCTTTACTGCTTTAGTGAGCAAGCAGAACGTGTTCTGGCCTACCCAGAACCGGTGCAGTCCCAACCAAACGCGCTGTTCTGGCCCGTGAAACCTGTTGCAGGTTGTAGAGCTCTACAACCTGCAACAGGTTTCACGGGCCAGAACAGCGCGTTTGGTTCTACAACCTGCAACAGGTTTCACGGGCCAGAACAGCGCGTTTGGTTGGGACTGCACCGGTTCTGGGTACGCCAGAACACGTTCTGCTTGCTCACTAAAGCAGTAAAGGCTAAACTAAACTGAAACGGTGACCGTAACTCGGCGTAAGCGTAGGCTTGGTCACTTGGCCAGGTGATCCTCCAGGTACTGTATGTAGTACTAGTACGCAACACTACCACATTCACTTCATGTAGACTCAACTAGTACTAGTACTCAAGTACTAGTACTAGTACAGGTAAGGACCACATGCAGAACTCATCACAAACACTAAGTCCACTGGCCATACCCCACCCCACCCCAAATCCTGCTGATATCAGATCTTCACACCAGCACAAACCATGACTGGTACAGGCCACGAAAACCTGCGCAGATGCACATAACAGCAGATAATCCAGGCATGGTTGATAAAATTGGACTTTCGTATGCTTGTTCTTTTTGCGTAAAGATTGTCTATGAGTAAAGAACATAAGACGAGAAACCACAGAAAGATCGTGGAGAAACTTGATAAAAGATAGAAGCAAGCAAACGGAATGTGAAAGCCTGTAATATAATTATACCAGTATGCCAGTAGGCAGTGATTTTAAAAAGATAATAGTTTTGAAGGTATTGATTGTGTTTTGGTTGTCGACGGATTGGAATCGTCCCTAGAATAAGCACATACCTACATCCATAATGTCACTCAACGTTAGCCTGAGCGCTTAGAAGCACTTGCGATGGACAATGCTAGGGCCAGACTCATCGTACTCCTGCTTGGAGATCCACATCTGCTGGAAGGTGGACAGCGAGGCCAGGATGGAGCCACCAATCCATACGGAGTATTTGCGCTCTGGTGGGGCAATGATCTTGATCTTCATGGTTGGTGGAGCTAGAGCAGTGATTTCCTTATGCATACGGTCGGCAATACCTGGGTACATGGTGGTACCACCGGACAGGACAACGTTGGCGTACAGATCCTTACGGATGTCGACGTCGCACTTCATGATGGAGTTGTAGGTGGTCTCGTGGATACCAGCAGATTCCATTCCGAGGAAGGCTGGCTGGAAGAGAGCCTCTGGGCAGCGGAAACGCTCATTGCCGATGGTGATGACCTGACCGTCGGGAAGCTCGTAGCTCTTCTCCAGGGTAGAGCTTGAAGCAGCAGTCTGCATTTCCTGTTCAAAGTCGAGGGCAACGTAGCAGAGCTTCTCCTTGATGTCACGGACAATTTCACGCTCAGCAGTGGTGGTGAAAGAGTAACCACGCTCGGTGAGGATCTTCATGAGATAGTCGGTCAAGTCACGGCCAGCCAAGTCGAGACGGAGGATGGCGTGGGGAAGGGCATATCCCTCGTAGATCGGGACGGTGTGAGTTACACCATCACCGGAGTCCAAGACGATACCGGTGGTACGTCCAGAGGCGTACAGGGAGAGCACAGCCTGGATGGCGACGTACATGGCGGGTGTGTTGAAGGTCTCGAACATGATCTGTAGGAAAAGGCAAGAAAATGAGAACAAATCATCAAAACAAGGCACAGGCATGGTTGATTCCTAGAGAGGAAGGCTGACTGAGGAAAACATTTCCACTCTCAGACTAAAGTAATGGACAACTCGGCAATGGTTAGCTACTACTAGTATTCACACCTCTTAAACTAAAGAATAATTATACGTAATGCAGTAAACAATGCAAATTGGTCATTGGTCGCACACACTGTTGGCGAAGGGCGAGCGAGTGCATAATGCGTTACAAGAACGGTCACATATGCACATGGTCTCAAGCAGGATTGAGAACTCGGAGCACAGCTACCACCCAAGGGTGCTGGGGAACCATGGAACACCTCTCTTCTGAGAACACAGAAGCAGAGAAGACTGTTGTACACTACTACAGCTACAAGGGAGGGTTGCCATTCATGTACAAGTATACTGAAAAACGGGGATGGGGGCTGGGACACAGGGCTCTAGTGGATAAGGCCCATCCCTGTGTACATGCAGCATTGACGCAGGAGACAAATGGTGCACGCCAGCCACTGGGAAACAGGAAACCGGTGCTACCCGGCCAACCAACTACAAGTATGGCTTCACAACCAAATATGGAGAACATTCGTCGACCTCCAAGAATAGACGGTTGCCAGTCACTATTTTCTACACTACAGTTCAAAACTCGCACAACACGCCCACAGCGGCCACGAAAACTCACCTGGGTCATCTTTTCACGGTTAGCCTTGGGGTTGAGGGGAGCCTCCGTGAGAAGGACGGGGTGCTCCTCTGGGGCAACACGCAGTTCATTGTAGAAAGTGTGATGCCAGATCTAGAGAAAACAGGGAGAATCAACGTTACAGCATTGGTCACGGTGAAGCAAGACTAAAATACTAGTAATAATATGACGACAGGATATTTCTACAGATAATCGCTAGATAACTAATTACTTCCAACAAATCGTTGGCACAGTTTGACTAGTCTCAATATTCATCGGCCTGCCAAAATGTCACCGTTGCAGCAGCTCGATTGTAGTGCCGCGCTTGGCAGCACAACTGAATTAGTGCGGTAGCGACAGTTTCACTATCGCACATCACAGTATACACGTATGCAGGGTGCGCTTCCAGGCGGACACGGGCGGAAGTCGCTTTTTAGAGTTTAGCACCTATCCCATCAATCATGTTGATCTACCAGTGCGGCGGGGTATTGGTGTAATACCAACCAGCTCTCTCTCTTGTCTTGACACGGCAGTTGAAATTACTATAATTATGTATGCAGGCACGCACACTGTGTGTTCAACACCAATAAACAGCTCGCACAAATTTCCACGGAATTATTCCTCACCTTCTCCATATCATCCCAGTTGGTGACGATACCGTGCTCGATGGGGTACTTGAGGGTCAGGATACCTCTCTTGGACTGGGCCTCGTCTCCCACGTAGCTGTCCTTCTGGCCCATACCGACCATCACACCCTGATGGCGGGGACGACCGACGATGGACGGGAAGACGGCACGGGGTGCGTCGTCGCCAGCAAAGCCAGCTTTGCACATACCGGAGCCATTGTCTACGACAAGAGCAGCAACTTCGTCGTCACACATGATGAAAGTTAGGGAAAGGAGAAGAAACGTCAGACAAACCAAACACAAGTTGTCAGAAAACTGAAGTAACGTCCACCACCTGAAGTCAAGGGTTTTTGTACTTTGCTACCGCTTTGTTCCCGAGAAGGACGCTGGCAGGATCCAGTCAGCTCGCTCCGTCGAAGACGAATACGCTCAATCGACTCCATAATCGATGCATCCCGCACCACGCGAAAATTTCGGAAATACCTTCTCAGAAATCCTTTCTCCTCGACCAATCAGACGGCCTCGGCTCGAGACACTACCGTTATGGCGTTACTGCCGTCAGTTTCGCCCCAGTCATCCCTACTCTAGGCCCTAGGCCTGTGCCTGGTCACCAGGTCACACTCCTGTCAAGCAGGGAGTAGTACTGTCACTACTACTACTAGTACTAGTGTTAGTGCTATGCTGTGCGCGCTACTCCCTGCCGTCAAGTATCAGCAGCACCTTGCAAGCACCCAGGCAGTAGATCTACCTGGCGATGAGCACTTGTCTGCCAAGTGGCAGCAGTTCTGCGGGTCAGAGTCTGTGACTGAGTGTGAGACCGAGCCACATGCACACACTCGACTCACGGACGGTTCACACCAGGGAGTTGTAGTCATACTACAGACTAGTAGTAGTACAGTCATGTACTAGTAGTACAGTCTAGACTAGAACTAACCCACACGACTCCCCAGGCCCCTGGTAGCACACAACAGCCGGGCCCGCTCTTCTGACCTCAGATTTCACACGAGCCAGGCTAGGCGCTCACATCATGTGCTTGTGCTATGCTGTGCGCGCATGCGATACCGGTATGCCGCTATGCGGGGTCGTTACCAGTGCCACCCGTACGGGCCGTAGCCTAGGCGTAGACAACTACAACGCGCCATAGACATAGTCCTAAAAACAGACTACAGAGTACGATCCGAGTAGATCCGCTACTGGCACTGCCCTGGCTGTAGGTAGTACTAGTGTAGTAGTAGATGAGTTGTACGTTTGATTTCATGACTAGTCTTGTAGATCTACAGACTGTCATTATTTTTAGTAATTTTACACCGTGCTAGCTGTGAACTCTCGAACCGACAGGTATAGGTAACGTAACGTAAGGTCAAGTCAAGTAAGTCAGTACGGACGTGCAGTGCAAGCTGGTTTCAAATGCAAGCAGAACTGGAAGTACATGCGCCGGAAGTCGTAGGATTAGCCTACGCCTAGCGCCTAGCCTTAGGCTAGTACTAGTAGTATGGGCCATGGGCTAATCATGGTGGGCAGGTAACTGGTTTGTCACATCTACGACACATTTTCATCATTCACGTAACGTTCACTGTGACTGTCGATCTCCTACTCCTAGGATCCTGTCCTCAAAAAGACAAAACCTGCATCGTGTCTCTTGATCGCTGATGAGAGTGAGAGGGGGACGCGTGACACTGAACTGCAGCAAGAGTGCACGGCGAAAATAACGATCCGGATCACCACTAGCACTACATGTAGTGCTCAGTAGCGCGATACGGCCATTACGGGCAATGATCTGACCTCCCTTACACGAAGCTCTTGTTCTCACTTCTCAACCCACGCACTTGCCGTACCAGACACGTCATTGTGACAACAGCAGGCATACACCAGACGTGTACATACGATGATACAGACAGGCACAACAGTCAACACTCCACACCTTGCACAGATCGCACATCATGCGGCTCTGGCGTTGTGTGTTGTGTGTCCTGGCCTGTTGGCATTGGCTGCGGTTGCTGTTCGGCTCAGCCCAACATGTAATCATGCCCATTTTCTGTTCTGTGAACCCCATGAGGAGAGTAGAGTAGAGAGGATTCAAGTCAAGAGGTCGATATGCAACAGCAAGCGAACCCTGCAACTGTGAAAGTACCGCCCGCGCCCACTGATAGAGTGTGGAAGGATGGGCGATGAAGCACGATCAGCTGCTTTTCGTACATTCCTTTGAAAATCGTACAGTGCGACAGCTGCGCCTTTGAAGTAACAGTTGGTTTGAGCGTATTCTGGCGAGCGTCGTGTTCCTTTTGAGTTTTGTATTTGGCGCAGGCTGCGTGCTGTGTTGACTACAGTTCTCGAACATGCGGCCCGCGGATTAGATCATCGGAGATGAGGATGCATCGCAGCGCCGCGGTAGATCTACACTACCACATAGTAGTCACAACACGTTGTGGAGTACGAGTATGAGTATGAACATGATGAACACATCCTTGCCCTGGGAAGTAGTTTCCCTAGTTCTGGGAAGCTTCGAATCGAAATAGAACTTATAAGGCCCGCCAAGCGTGGCCATTTTATCAATCAATGTCCGCTGTGTGTATAAATGGCAGCATGTTTGCGGCAACAACAGTCGAGATGTGCGCATGCCATGGTCTTGCCACTGTTTCTCCAGCGACAACAATCATCAAGACATAATCCATGCGTAGCGTCTTATTCAGCCTTCTTGACTGTGTTGAGTGCGTGAGACCGTGGCATGCACGGCGTAAGACAAGTCGCGCAAACAACAGACCACACGCGCACACACGCACACGTACACGCTTTACTTTGACTTTACATTATGTACATTATTATTGTAGTTTTGATTCAGTAGACGTTATTTCCGACGTGACGCGAAAGTTCAGCTCGTGTATAATATTATACTTACTTGGCTCGATCACGCGTCGGAAACCAACGCGGGTACGAGTGACCTGCGCTGCATGCACTCAGCTAGCTCACGTCGAAATTTGGAGTTTTACGCCAAATTTGACGTGAAATTGCGTGTCACGTCGGAAATCTCCAGTGCCTCACCTGCAACGTGCAACGACACGTGTTGGCCTTTTTTTTGCTGCTGTGCGGTGCGCATGCGGCGGTGGCTGAATTCAATAATTATCATTGAAGTGGATCCATGGCATGGATCATGGAGCGATAAGGGCACCTCACCGGTCACCGTGGCTCACGCGTCCTTCCCGGAACGGCTGAGTTAGGAAGTGTACGTGCAGGCCAACTGGTATGATGATAATGCTTGCTATACACATGAGCTAAATATTGATGAGATAAAAAAAACACGGGCTTGACCCCAGCCTGTACTACTCAGTACTAGTACTAGTAGTAGCAAGGGTATGTGGTCTCGGCAGCAAGAGCCAAGACGCATCCTTTGATGTTAATGGGTGACGTATCCTTCAGTGTTCCTTGCTGTCGAGAGCGGAGGTTCTTGCTCAGCTACCCAGGAATGAGCAACAGAAGAAGAGTGCATACCTGCAAAGGGTGGTATGTCGAGAGTGGTGCACTCACGCCCTTGGTGTTTGCCACCAATGCATGGTATGTGCAGCCAGGAGTGTTCATGTGCATGATTCAAGCGTTATGGCAAGTTTGAGGTCCCGTATATCTTTCTTGCTATTATTAAAATGGTTTGCAACGTGCTTTCATGGATGCAGGGCTTCCTATTTGCGGGGCTGAACACGCTCATTATTTCTCGACCAATGCCACAAATAACGCACTCACATACACACACACCTCAGACCTCAGACCTCAGACACACACACACACACACGCACGCACGCACGCACACACACACACACACCACACACCACACACACACACCGCCCGTCGCAAACGAAGCACGCAAAATATGTAAGTGCACTGGCGTCTGGATGTGCACCCACAGATTTTCTCGTACATGTAGTACTCACTAGTACTAGTAGTAGCGATGCCGATAGCAGACAAGATAAAAAAAGAACTGAACGAAACAGATCAAGACACACACACGCGCGCGCGCGCGCGCGCGCGCTCGCGCACACACACACATACAGACCAGTGCTGCACCGTCATTTTATTCTCTTTGCGTAGATCTACAATGTTGTAGATGAACATTAGCAATACATTACTCATTAGCAATACATTACTCATTAGCAATACATTACTCATTAGCAATACATTACTCATTAGCAATACATTACTCATTAAAGTAAAAAAGTAAATTATCGTATCCGTTCCCGAAGGGAACTCACGACGGCCGCTAACACCCGATAAACCCTAGCGGCAGATGCAGCGCCTAACGGTGGGGGTGAGTGGGCAAGTCTCACAACCACTGGCACAAGTGCCGAAAACGACCCCATTAGCTGCATCCATGTACCCCTTGTGCCTGGCCACAAGTTCCCAGTTGACTGTGGGTAGCAGCACGGCTGGAAAAAACGCTCCCAGGCAGGACTTGAACCAGGTACCTCTCGTATCTCAATCATGGTCTTTGACCAACCCACTGTGCCTGCCTGGTATACATTACTCATTAGCAATACATTACTCATTAGCAATACATTACTCAGCCATTCTCAGAAGTGCACTGCTGACAGTCATGTTCGAGATTCAGAGAATCCTCAAGCGTCATCGCTCTTCACTTGAAGTTGAACTGTTCTGCACTACAATTGTTGGCTGACTAATACATTGTTTAAAGGGGAAGTTAAGGCAAAAATTAAAATTTCACCAGTTGTAGTCTTCGGGGTGCTGAGTCGAATGGTCTTGGTCCGAGGAAGCTGAGACGCTCCCTTCCTACTTGAATCCCAATCGAACTCGCGCACTTCCACCGAAACTGGGTGACTGCGCCCTACGAGATGGGGATTTGTATGCAAAATGTCACTAAAAGCGCCATTTCGTTCTTATAAAAGCACGGATGACCGCGATTGGCCCATATGTTGTAGTCTTTTGGACGCTGAGTCGACTGGTTTTGGTCCGAAAAGGCTGCGATGCAGCGTTCCTCCCTTATTCCCAATCGAACATGGTTGAAGAAGCGGTCACGTGCTCCTGGGTGCCCAAATCACCTGGTCACCACGCCAGCAGGCGACAACTTTCACACCAAGGTTCAACTCGAGTGACAGGACTGCACCCAAAAAAGGTCAAAACAGGCTGTAAGTTGTACCCTGCAGGCACGGTGACCTGGTGACTGGTGTACGCAGGAGCACGTGACCGCTTGTTCAACCATGTTCGATTGGGAATTAGGGGCGAACGCTGCATCGCAGTCTTTTCGGACCAAAACCAGTCGACTCAGCGTCCAAAAGACTACAACATATGGGCCAATCGCGGTCATCAGTGCTTTTAT